CAAGGTGACCCCTCTGGGCCGGGCCGGGCCGTACTCACGGGTCCCGAGAGCAGCGGCCCGCGGCAGGAGACGACGGAGCGCAGCGGGGGCCGGGGCCCGCGGCCGCAGCAGCCCGAGCGGGGCCGCGAGGGGGACGGCAGCAGCAGCTGAGGTTCGACCCACGAGCCCCAACATGGCGGCACCAACTGCACTGCGCTGCCCGCCCACCTCAGAACTGCCCGGCGGGGCGGGGCCGCCGACGCAGAGGCCGCCTGTCATTGGGCAGCTCGGCCGCCACTCCGGGGCCGACCGCCTCTCTCATTGGAGGCGGGCACCGCCACTCTATGCGGGAGCCTCTGCCACTGGTGAGCGGGCCTGCGGCTTGATTGGCTGTGGGGGACAGGAAGAGGCGGGGCTCCCCGCTTACAGAGCGCCGGAAGCCAGGACCACGTGTGTGTCTGGGTGTGGAGGGCGCTCCCGGTGACATTTGGCGGGCAGGTGGGGAGCGCAGGTCCGACCTGGGGTACTGGATAGGATCCGAGCGGGGCCTCTACTCCTAGGACCTGCTCCGGGGCAGGTGCAGCCGGAGCGGATGCTCCGTGTGGCTGAGCCCCCGAGGGACGCCCCTCGAGCGGCTCCGGCCCTCTAGGCGTGGCTTGGCCCTGGGCTCCACACTCGATACACAGAACCGGCTTCACGTCTACGCCAGAAGCGCCCCGTGCACGCCCCCACGCAGGCCCTCCCTCCCCCTGAGCCACGGAGTCCGGACCTTCGCCCCAGGCTTGCACTAGGTCAGCGGCTGTCACCCTTCTTTGTACCAGGGCCCACTTTTAAACAACGATGGTCAGTCCCGACTCGCTGCCCACGTGTGTGGGGTGCAGGGGCCCCAAGCAGCTCCTCAGAGGCTGGAGCTCTGCCAGCCTGCAAGGGAAAACCCACCGGCTCCCATGTTTTTCTCCTTTAAAGGGGAATCTATGTTTGAAGTTTGTCTGTGACCTATGTATTTTTGCAACTCCTGGGTTGAAAAACGCTGGACTATGTGACCTTTTGAGGTCCCTTTCCTCCCATCACTTCCTATGATTCTCATGCCTGCTTGTGCTCCCCAGCTGGAGAAGCCCCCGACTGGCATTGCTGGTCCTAGGTGAGTCTCAACTGTGTGCTGTAGTAAACAGTCATCACCAGCCCCACTGAGGTGCTTTAATGCAGCATTTCTCAACCCACAGGTCAGCCCAACAGTGGGTCTCAAGAATATATTAAAGTGTGGCAAACAAACTTCAAAAATGGGTTCTCCTTTAAAGGAGAAAAACATCATTTTTTTCTTGCAGGCAGCAAGGGTCTGCTTGCCCCCCCAGCCCATGTACTGGGGGGCAGCAGGGCAGGAGCAAGGGTCACCAGCCCAACCAGGGGACTGTTTTCTACTGAAACTATTTTCTGGGTTGGGACTGGCTGTCAATGACCACAACTGGGTCCTGGTATATAAACGGTTAAGACCCACTACTTTAATGTATGGGGCAGGAGGGTGGTATTAAGCTAGCTCTGGCCCTTGCTCAAGGTCTGCGCTTCCAAAGCACATTGGAAAGCAACAGAGCCAGGGACAGCATCATCCAGCAAAGAAGAGTCACAGTTGCAGCAGGGAAGAGGTGAACGAGCGGGGGTGAAAGGGAGGTACAGACCTTACTGGAACCTCCCTTGCACCTTAGCTGCAAAACTGGAGCAAGTCATTCACAGTTGGGGGAGCCATGCTACAGGGAAGGAATAACCAAGGCAGCTTTCCCCCTTTGGGGGCTATAAGGCTCCATGGCACAGCAGAGTCAGGGGCTGGGGGTGGTCTTGAGGTCTAATCAGCACCCACGTGCTCTGGCCTGGACCCAAGTGAACCATCTATTGATAGCAAGCGCCTGTTGCCAAGGCAAACATGTGCTGGCTGATGCCCAGCAGAAGCTGGTTAGAATGAAACTCCCCTCCAAGGATCTTGAAGGGATTTACAGCTGTCCTCATGGCAGAAGCAGTTTATCAACTCCCAGGTCTCAGCCGGGAGCCTGTAGGGCACTTGGGTGACAACAGATGCCTTCTCTGGGCTACAGGGAACAGCGAAGTTGGTTGCAGAACCAGGAGCAGCTCCTGTTGTTCAGCTGTTAAACACTGCCCACATGATGCTTGTTACCAGGCTGAGGCTGTAATTCTTGCCGCAGCCACTCACAATGGTTTCCAGGGCATCTCAACCAACCCATGCTTTGTTCCGACCTCTGGTCTTAACACAAAAGAGATGGGGGGGAATAAAAGTTTGCCAAGCTGGCAGTTACACTGGGCTGATGAGCAGAGTATCGAGTTCTCTGTTCTCCTCAGAGGAAGGGATACCAGGCACAGCCTGTGCTAGAGCTGGCAGCTTTGCAAGGCTGGTAACGAGACAGGCACCACTGTGAATATACAGCCCCACTCTCGGCTACTTGAAGATAAAACACCTGCCTGGTGTTATTTCCATGCCGTGGCTCCTTGTCCCAGGGAGAAGGGTCTTGTAAAGCAGCAATGCCCCTGCCCCTTCCCCTGTGTTGGCAGAAGCCCTTTGCTTGCATAAAAAGGGCTAAACACAGGCTGGGTCCCTTTTCCCCCCCAGCTATTGATATATCCTGGAGGAAGAGGAGAGCCCCGACAGCAGAACTGCCAGGCAAGATCAAGAGCAGCCCTAAGTCTCTGAAACGGGGCACACTCCACTCCAATAGCCCCCCCACAGTCCTGTTACGCCACCACTGTGCACAGCCAAGGCAGGGGTCAAATGGGATGGATGTTCACTATGCACTGTAAGGGGAGACAGGCAGCATTGTTATAAGGTATAAGCACAATGCATCTAGGGCTTCACTCAGTCTCCATCAACTGCAGTGGGCTTTGAACCAGACCCTCTGCTCCTCTTCTCACATCGCACAAGCCTCTGCTAATGGGATTGGTGCCGGCAGCAGCTGTCCTAGGTCTTGATTCTCCGTGTCTGGGCTTGCGAGTGCTGGAACTGCTGCTCTCCGCATCCCCAAGGCCGCATGGCAGCTGCATCCTTTCTGTTCTTGCACCGAAGCCAATGATTCCACTTTCTCAGGCTTTTGTGGATAGGAAACAATGGCAGGGATTCAGAGGCTGCCGCAGCAGGCAGGAGCCTGAGCCCAGCTGGGTTGTATCTGCCATCTCACCCAGAGAATTCCAGCAGCGCACTCCAGCTGACACCAGCTAAAAGACGGCATGTCCTGGAGTCTAAAATTAGCTCTGCCTGCTACCAGCGCTGCCTGGAGGGGCACGCGCTGCCCTGAAAATACCTGCCGTTCCTGGCAGGGCCACATGACATCAGCACTATCACTCCCAGCTCAGGGTTTGCCTAGCATGAGGGGCAGCAGCTCAGCAGACTCCTGCCCTCTCCAGGGAGGTCTGTATGAAGCCCATGTATTTTCTGCCTGGGAACATATCCTCTTCCACATGCAAGCACCATTCTTCTTGGTTTGCTCCAAACTGCTCTTGGAGTTAGCTCAGAGCCAAGCTGATCACAGAAGGAAAAGTCATTTCCCAGGCTCCCAGCCCTTCTGATGTTCCTTGACCACCAAACCCCCTGCACCCTCTCTACCACTTCAGGGCCTGTTATCATGCTTTATGCCAACAGTTCCAATCTTCACAGCAGACTCTTCCTGTTCCTGACTCCACCAGAGCTCATCTAGAACGCAGGTCACTGCTGCTGGGATCAACTGAGCTGCTTATTACTTTATGCTGAAGTGTCAACCTGGGAAAGCAGCTCCAGATGGGCCTTGTTGGCCAACAGGAAGGATTTGAAAGGCCTTGGCAATGCAGACATTCCAGTGTGCTAGTCACAGATGCTTCAGAGGACACTGCAAGGAACCACCTCACGGAACACCGTTCAACACAAAAGGTGGGGAGATGCAGCTTACCACCTCACACAGGCTGCGAGCGCTTACAACTGTAGCCCTGCCTGCCTGCTGTGACCCTCAGGTCTCACTCCAGAAACTCAGTCTCAAAGCTTCACAAAAGAGGCCAATGTTGCCCATTGGAAGACAAACCCCATTGAGTGAATTCATACACACACTGGAGTTATCTAGAGACCAGGCTGGGAACATGGTCTCACCAAGGCCAAATAGGAGCTGCAGCATCAGAGCCTGGCTAGGGCACTGCAGGCTGCTTCCAGACTCAGTGCCACTGACTGCAGTCACCCAGATATGTTAAAGGAGAAAAACAGGAACTAAAGAGCATCACCCCCCTGTCCTTCTGCCATGTCAGGGAGCTCGGTGCCAAAATGCAGAAGCTCAAAAATTTAGGAGGACAAAACTGTTTTATTAGAGTCAAATCACAACACTTTGCTTTCCCCCCCCACCCCGTTTAAACTGTTGTCAAAGTGCATCTACAATTTTCCATTACAGATCCACTTTCCTGAAGGTTTGCTGGGCACATTACAACTTGCCTCCTTCCAACAGATGCAATAAAAGCCTGTGCTAATTATCCCAACTAAAAATAAAAATCCATTCCAGCAAATGAGAATATATGAAGTTACAGTCGGACAGTTAAAAGGACAGCCATGGAGTCTTCAACAGTTTATTAGAAAGAATGTAGACATTAAAAAAAAAATCCCCACTGCTTTGAACACAAATTGAGGTTTCTCAGCCTTGTTATAAGCTGGTCAAACAAACAAAACAAAAAAATCCCAATAGTGTATAACATTTTGTCACTCGTTTCCATACCAACAGTGCAAATACATTTTGGTCTAAATGTACAGATTGACAAGCAACAATGTACAGCCATTCTCACCCCTCTGGACTAAGAGATGTAAAAGCTTGGGGGAGGGAAGGGGGGGGTCAAACAATACCAATGTACAGGCTTCACCCACTTCAGTTTGGGGGTCACTAGTTTTAGCTAAAATACACCTGGAACACTAACTAGTGATCATTAAATACAAAGTGAAGTGTTCTCCTTTTTAACAGCACATTAGTGGAACACACCTGAAGACACTACAGAGGTATAGTGCGTTACCAATTTAATTCTATAAGCCAATTAAAACATCGCATCAGCCAGGTCACCTCCAGGTAGGAGGTCTCTGAGTTGCCTGCAGCCCATGCTGCGAGGGGGAACACAGATCTGCCATTCAAGCGAATAGAGGATTTCCCCACTGTAACCATGTCTGAGGTGACCGGGTTCTGTAAACTTTGTCCTGCAGCGGTTGTTTCGGTTGCCTATACCTCAATTGCTTTTTTGTTTTTTGGAAGTCTGAAAAAAGAGGTTCCCACATAATGTTATTGCCTCTTGTGGCTTAAGACTGCCCCGTACAATGGTACATACCAACCATCAGTGAAGCCATTTAAAACAGATTGAAAATGGGTTAAAGGATGCAATATCTGGCTTTAGAGCTATCAACTCAGGAATTCTTATCTCAATTATGAAATGCTGTAATGAAGTTCTTTCCCCAAACCCTGAAGACGACAGTTTTCCTTACTCCAGATCTGGCATTTCTGAAAAGACAGGCAATGCATTAATGCTTTTGTATCAAAACCCAGAGCCCTTTCTGAAGCTGGCTGCAATACAGACACTGTGACAGAAGCCCTGACCCAGACTGAGCCACGTGTTGCTCAGCCTTCTTTGCACCCTAGCGAGCAAATCGAATGCAGATCTCAGGTTCAGTTCAGTTCTGTATTAAACTTCCAGCATAACCAACACCCCCGAAACATTAAACCCAATGCGCTCAAAGTGTTAGAGTCAGACCAGCTATATGCACAGACCTCCATGAAGGAGGCAGCTCCAGTCTCTGACTCCTGTGGCCGCAGCAATCAGCAGAGCCAAGGGGGTGTCTGCAAGCCCTGCTCAAGGACAGGTCATTCTGCATTCAATGCAACCCACTAGGATAACGTGCTCAGAACGGACCTAGGTAGAACCCAGTGCCACATCTGGGCAGACAAGGGTATGCGCTGGCAAGCTCGACAGAACGTTCCCAGTTTGGAGGTACGAGCTAGCGCAACACCTCCCAGAGACTACAGATTAGCATAATGAAACACACTTACTTTCGTCGTCGCTGTCTGGTGAGTCCTGAAGGAGAAACAAACAGCAAGGAGGAGTTGATTAGATCTGGCGGTACGCTCCACGCACTCACGCTAATCCAGCCAAGGGCTCAGGCCTGTGAAGCCTGGCATGAGGCTGCTGGCCATCAGGACTTAGATTTACTCTAAGGACCTGAAGAAGATAGCTCTGCCCCAGCTGAGCCCCACATACAGCAAGGGCACACCTGAGATATACTACAAAGAGGCAAGTGGAAAGAACCCCACAGATGTTCACAGGGGCAACTCTAGCACCCTTCAGGCAGGTTGGGGCACTGATGCCCTTGCCAAGGGCATGGGGCAGTCCTCCCCCAGCTATACTAAGCCAAGAATTCTAACTTGGCCATTCACACCTGACCAAGGCTGTCCCTGTCCCCACCCTAAACGAACCATGGATTAGCTACTCACATCGTCTGCTCCATCTACTTCTGGCAAATCTACACCCTCGTCTCCACCCATGTTGTTCATCATCTGTTTTGAAGGTAAAAGCTGCATTAGACTGGAGACTGCCTCAACGGCTCTCATTTCCCTGTATAAGCCGAAGGACATTAATTCTATGTCGAAAAATAGCCCATTAAATTATGGTGGAGCTCAGCCACAATGGACAATGCAGGGGTTAGTGTCTGTTAGTGACAGATGTTTATTTCAAACAATGTGCCACAGAACTGCTTTTAACTTAGCTTCTCACCAGGCTCAGGTGAAGCTAGCATGAAGCCCTCTTCTGCTGGAGACTCAGGTTAAGTTCGTGCTTGTGAGCAAGCCTGAGCAAGGCTAGCATATCTCACTGTCACCCCATGTGCACGTCCCCATGTTACTGCACACTGCAGAGCTACAACCACACACCGAGCCCATGCCCTGAAGGACCAGTTCGCTCACAACAGGCAAAGAGCAAACAAGAAAGCAGCCAAGCAGTGCTTTTAATGCACCATCAGTCAAGCAGCAATTCTTGTTGCGTATCAAGCTGCCACAACTCCAAGCGGGTTTTGCTCTACTCTGCATCTGCCAAGTCACCCATTTGGTGCTGGCAGCAGCTGGAACTCAGCACGCTATAGTTTGCATTGGTGTCAATAGCCAAGGAACCACTTGGAACGTTAATGCAGCTGAAGAGGTCTTTTCAGCTCACTGTCAGCTGTTGCTTGCCAACACGCACAACCCAAGTGGGAACTGCAAATCCGTCTCCCATTACCTCAGAGAAGCGATCGAAATTGGACAGGTCTTCATCTGAATCATCTTCCCAATCTTTCCAGTTGTTGAAATCCACACTGAGCCAGTTAAGCTGCAATCGATACAAGGATTTCCTTCAGAGGCAAGTCATTTTGGATGTGTGGGAAGAATCTACCCTCACATAAACAGGCAAGTGCTCCAAGAAATACCAGTGTTTGAGACCAGTTACCAGGGTGAGTTTGTATTTTATACCGGCTAATCAGCCTCTAGGTGACGTTTAGATCTTAAATTTGACAGACTGTGAGCACTGCTGCCATGAGCATGGAAAGACAGAATGGGGACCCACCTTTGCCTTCTCTTTTGTTAACCTTGGCCATGCCTGGCCAGATTCTCCTTTTCGTAAACAGCACAAGATCGATCTGTCTGTTCTTTTATGCTTTGATTCCTGGAAGAGAAGAAGAGTCTTTTAACATGGCAGAATGCAAGAAGCAAATTTCAGCAGGATTCTTGCATCCCCTTTTTTAAGATGTCCTGCCACGTGGTTAAGACTGGGGACAAGGAATGAAATGCATACAGCAGTGCTAGATCAGGTGATCCAGTCCTGGGGAAATTTTTTTTTTTTTTTTTTTAAACACCTGGGAACATGTCCACCCCCAAGACTGAAACCCCATGTGTTTCGCATGGCAGCATTCTTTGGATTAGGAAAAGAGCTGGAAGCCACTG